AAATCATCTTTTGACTGATGTAATTTACTATTTGATACTTTTTATAATGATAAATTCACTTTTTGAGTGATACATTTACATAATAGTTTCAGGATGATATAATCACGTTGTAGTAATATAATCACATTTCGTATGATATAATCACATTCGTATGGTATATTAGAAGGTTGGGTCTACAATAAGTTATTGTAGACCAGGTCTATTCTAGTCTTTACCTAATATCTGACCCTCGTAAAATTTCAGGCAACAAAAACGGCGGGAAGCAGAGGAGAGAAGATCAAGTGATAGGAAGGCAGAGAGGCGAACATGAATCCTTTGTTTTGCTGGCTTTAATTTTAGTGACCAACAAGACCATCAGAAAAGAGCAAGGAGATTGTTTGCAATCCATTGTTATGAATCTGTCGACTGTTGTCCATCGGTGAAAACTCAGCATGATGGTAATGTCGATAACCTTCTAGCTGTCTAGCACTTTAGCATTGTTGCTTATCATGGTACTGAGGAGGCTTACAAGAATATCCCGCTAAGGTTGAACTACCTGAAACTAATGGTAATTTTACTTCCAGTATCTGAAATTCATTGGTTTGTGTGAATCATGGAAAGCAAATTACTTAGAAAATGGCCAAATTATAAATTGTTTTGTAGGTTGTCCTTGATATGATTTACTTGGCAAGAAGAAATGAGGCATATTAAGCCAATACATTTTTTCTTTCTTTCCGGCAAGCACGTGTTTCTGAACTGCTTGTATATACAAATTCTGTATCTGCTGCTTGAATTTATGAGATTGGGGCAATGCCCCTTGTAACTTTATAAGTGCATTTAGCTGTAATATGATTATACTATGAATGATTGAGCAATGCTTAGTGGATGAAAAACATTACAAATGAAAGCACATTGGCACAAGAATCTCATATCCTAATCTTGTTGCATCATGCACAAATTAGAACAGGAGTCTAGCAGCCCATATCTCTCAGATTCAATGGAAATTGTGAGATCCATGCTATACTCCTTGCTTATGTTTTATGTCTTTTAAAATAAATTCTCGAAAGAATGTTACTTTGGGACCCTCAACACCCTTGTAATTTCAAGTTTGGAATAATCTCCATGGAAGAGTTAACTCATCGAAAGCGCGACTAAATGGAGAACACCTGGGGCTTCTGGAGGGTGGTTCTATTTTAACTATGGGGGTTGAATATTTTGGAATTTTGTTAAACCTATTGTGATGCATGATATTATGATAATGACCCTATCTGGGTACTGTATTGTTTGGGCTTAAATAAAATAATTTTGATTAGAAGTCAAGTTCCCCGAATGTCAGATGTGCATAGTGTGGAAAATTAAGCAAGTCATTAATTAATTTATTCGTTGATATATTAAAATTCCTCTCCTCCTTCGTCAACTATATATAAAATAAAATTCGTTAGCAAATCCTTTCTTGAAATTCAAAATCGGAACTAAGAAGTCTAAACTGAAAACAACTTTATGATATAATATGTAGATTTGAACCTACATGTTAAGGTATTTAGTTGGATTTAGTTACAAGTGTTTGATGAGAATAGCAAACTTAACATTTTGTCAAATGTATTGATGAGAATTATAAAAGTTTTGGATTTGTCAAATATGTACGAATTATAAAGGAAATTTTCTAACTAGAGTTGACTATCGATTGATATTTCTAATTTTTCTCTGACTTAATAAAATAATGGAGTATTCTTCGATCATAAATTCGTAAGTGGTGGTGGTCATCTGGTCCTAATTGCTTAGAAGCTCCGACTTTGGCAAGTTTGCTTATTTTTTTATTTATGTATTTGGGTACATAAGAAGACAACGTCACACCCCTAATCATGCTGGTATCTCACACAAGTTTAAAATTTTTCAAATTGACAAGTTTTTTTGAGAATAGGCAATGTCGGGCATTTTAAATTTTGTGGGTAAGGATAGGTAAGGAAATACTCACTCCTAAAGTTTCTCTAGTAAAGGATTGATTCTAAGATATCAAAAATTTTAAAATTAGATCAAGGACTGGTTCTCTTCAGCTTAATTTCAGTTCATTTTCAATTAGTTTAGTTTAGTTTAGTTCCTAATTTCTTTCTCTCATAAACAATTCAGTTCAGCATCAATTATTTCAGTTCAATTCAGTTCAGTGAATCAAAATGGGCCCTAAGTACTTACTAAGTGACGTGGAATATCAATTGTAGTTAAGATTAATTTAGTCAACTTTTTATGATATACATGAATTACAAGTATTCATCAAAATATTTGAAAAAATGAATATTATAATATAATATGAATGGTTGTTGGTTGGTTAAATTGTTTATCTGATTTAGGGTTTAAGGTTGAGCTATATTTGAATAAGCCCAGTGAAATATATCTCAGCTCGGCTCATTATCATCTTAGTCATTGTAAAGGTATTTGGAGCCCTCTATGCCAACCACTCCACCATTCTCCACCCGTTATTTGTCAACTACTACAACATTCAAGGCTTCAAGCTCCCTTCAATTCTTCAAGGCTAATTTTTAGTTGAGAGTATTTTAATTCAAGAGATGTGATAACTCCCCTTTTTTTTTTTTTAATATTTTTTTTTCTTTTTCCTATTACTTTGTTTGACTTTTAATTGTAATATTGAATTTTCATGCTTGTCAGTGCATTTTTATGTCATTATATTATGTGAAATTTATTAAAAGAGGAAAATTAGAAGACAATAATTTATATTACTTTCAAAGGTGGTAAAATAAAAAAATTTCAATGTTATATACACCCTTTTGACCTATTTTTCACCAAGCGCTTGGATAGACACAAGCAAATAAGACTATTATTTTTAATCTAAACAAAAATATAGTGGAATAGAAGATAGTCTAATTCTTTCAGATCATCATTTCTATAGTAATTAATTAAGAAGATCGATTGAAAGCAAAGGGAGTACCAAGCAAAGGAGTAATTTTTAAGAGGTAGCCCCCATTAATATCCTAGATCGATAAACATTAATCTCTTAGATAAACTTTGGTATATATGACGGCGTCTTGCAACAGGGTGTATATAAAATTTTCAAGGGCATTGAGGCATGCAAAGAAATGGTTTACATGTAGTGTGATGCATACATCTTAACGACCTAACCCTTGTATCAACCTAATTAAATAATGCCCTACCGCATGAAGTAATCTACTTATCTGATCTATGTAGTACATATCAATTGAACAATGACACATACCACGATTGGATATTATTGATTTATTTTTAGAAATAATCTATTCTTTAAGGTGGTAAATATAATCTTTAATAAATCATTAATTATATTGAATGAATAGGGTGCAAAATTATCAGAAATCCATGAGACAAATAGCATACCAACAAGGCTATTAGTTAGATTTTGAATCAGTAAATTCTAAAACCTAATGCTTACCAAAAGCTTAGAGCCAATACAACAATTCAAGTTGGCCTACCTACCTCATCTAAAATTGGCATCATAATCTTGGAAAGAAACCATAAAGTAAAAATCCAAACGGTCCCAATTCCCTAACAACAATATTCTCTTCGAAGTTCAGTTAAAAACTGAAATAATAGACAGGAGATCTAAAGTGGTCTTCTTTTGAACATAAGGAAGACTAAAGTTTTAACAATTCCATTTAAAGAAAAAGAAAAAGAATTTGAAAAAAATGAAAAGAAATTCCATATTATTTTGATAAGATGGTTCATTTAGTTGTTACTCCATAATTTTTTTACTATTGATATATTTCTTTGGGTGTTTTATGATTTCTTTTTAGTTTTTTCTTTTTCTTTTTGATTTCATGCTTTCTTTATATGTTTAGGGTAAACTTTAGCTCTTTAAACATATTCACTTTTTCAAATTTCTCTAATTTTTTCTCTCAATATTTAGGTATATTAACCTTGTCATCAATAGTGGTGGAAATAACTATGTAAGGGTCTGTTCTCATACGTTGAAATTCAGTTCAGTTCAATTCAGCTCCTAATTTCCTTCTCTTATAAAATATTCAGTTTAGTTCAGTTCAGTTCAATTCAGCTGAGTTCAGTCAATGAGAACATGCCCTAAATAAGGTTTTTTTTTAATTATAAACTTATTATTTATTTGCCTAAATTATGATTTGTTGATGGACTTGCTTGTGAGATTTGAATTAATTAATATAAAGTTCTCATAAGTAGTACATTATGTAAAATACATCCTTCCTATATAGTTCTTATTCATAGTATATTATACTACGTATAATATTGTATTGTATAGATCCAACGCATCTAGGGTGGGAGTTGCTCTACCATAGTCATAGAAAATTCCATTGGTCCACCCCTACTAAAATACTAAAATATTGGAGATTTTGTTATAAAGTTTAAGTTTTTAATTTTCAAATGTAATTGTTATAAAAAGTAAGGGTCTGTTCTGATTTACTGAACTGAGCTAAACTAAATAATTAACGAGAGAAAGAAATTAACAATTGAACTAAACTGAAATTAAGCGGAAGAGAACAGGTGCTAACTACGAGTACTTGACCTACTTAATTAAACTTATACTCCGATCCTTTTTTTTTTTTTTTGAAACTCCATACTTTTATTTAGTCCTCTCTATGTACAATTTCAAAATTTGCCATTATTTTTTTTTTATTTTTTTTTTAAAATTGTGAGGTACAAAAGAAATATATAAGAAATATACTTCTTTTATTTTTTTTATTTTTTTATTTTATGAAATTGTAAAATTTAATAAGTATTATGAATGATTATTACACACAATCGCTTTTAAGAGATAATTATTTAGACCCAAAAGCTGGAAAAAATCCAACTTTTTACTTATTAAATTTCATAATTATGATATTAAAAATTGCAAGTGTCCTATCACTTCCAATCATTCAAGAATGTAACTTTTTTTATTCATAATTGAAATTTCTTAAAGGTGATTCTACGAATAAATCAAGCCCAAAGAAACAAAAGGAACCTGAGAAAGACAAAAAGCCAATAAAGACGCTAATTTTAAAATGGCACAAAATGAGAAAAAGGAATTAATCATTGAAAATTCTTTTACTCATACAAACTTCAAAAAGACAAACAATTAGTGGGATTCCTTCCTTATCTTACCTTGCTCCCACTCTTTTTTGTCCACATTTTTTTTTTCACTAATTTTTACATTCTCCTCGATTTGTTCTATACATACAACTAATTGATTAATTAATCAATATAAAATAATAAAAACCCATAATTAAGCAAAATTGAAGGATACAATATTAATATGGAATATAACCAATGTCCTAAAACTTGGATTATGAAATTACGGTAATGCGCGCCACACGGGTGTTGGAGCGCGTGCAAAAGACACCTGAAGAATAATCGCCTTGTTTTACGAAAGATGATGTGGGGGCAAAAGAGTAATTCTCTTTAGGGACCCTAAGCAAAAGTGTAAAATTACTAATTTTGGTCCCCTCAATTTCTATATATTCTCACGCGCTTTTGCATTACGTGTATCTCAAACGATGCGAATAGAGCAAAGCTAACGTGGTTGTATATCCTTTAGTAAACCCACAACTTGTTGCATTGTAGGCCGTTTACTAGTGTTCTCTGCCGTGCACAAGTACCCTACTCGTATACACTCGACCGCTCCCTTGGCCGAGTCATTGTCTAGTCTGAGTCTTGGGTCTAAGAGTCTGGATCCATTGCCATCCCTGACTGCTCTTCTCACTTTATTTACCGTCTCTAAATCAATTGTTTGACCAGTCATTAACTCGATCACAATTAGTCCAAACCCATATACATCATCCTCGGCGGACCCAGCATTTTCTATTCGATGCATGCTAAAGTCCGCAACGCGAGGCTCTAGGTCATCAGTGAGGAGGATATTCGAGGGCACGAGGTGGCCGTGGACCACAGGCTTAGACTGTGCATGGTGAAGGTAGGCAAGGCCACGAGCCACCCCAAGCGCGATTCTATGGCGCATTAGCCAATTTATTTTCTCCGGTGACGCGGTGTTAATATCCGGCGTGGCTTCGGGGTCATTTTGGAGCTCCCACGTGTCAGTACTCCAATCGTCGACATTAGGCATACCAGGTGGGAGCTCATGTAGCCAAGAATGCAAGTCACCATTAGACATATACTCATACAATACTAGCTTCTCCTTCCCTGGCAAAATTATTATTAAAATATGAGAAAAGATAGAAAAAAAATTACAGCATTAATGAAGTAACAATTATTAGCTGTCAAAAAAAAAAATTATTAGTTGATAAAACAAGAAAAAATTGCATTGATGAGAGCTGACAATTATGGGATGGAAAAGGAACAATGAATTCAAGGCAGTAGTAGTGTTGGTACTATAGGGTAGGAAAAAAATTTAATGTAATGTCTTCAAGTTCACTCAACTAACATAAACAAGGCCATTTTCAAATTTAATTTCACTGCCTCCCCAACCATCTTAGATTCTTCACTACCAGTGTCATTTAAGGCTACAAGCTCGCTCATAGATCTTTACAACATTTTTAGTAGTGTCATTTAAGGCTACAAGGTCGCTCATAAATCTTTACAACATTTTTAGTACAGTACTCCCTTCGTTTTTAAATAAACTTTACATCCGTCACACTGTGATTGTCATACCCTCTTTAGCTAATAGTACGAAAAAAAAATTACAAATAGTTTATTTGCATATGATAATACATGACAGAATAAATTAACAAGATTTTACATGATATGATATTATTGTATGTTTTTCTTACATTTTATTAGGGACCAAGACGATAAACTTCTACAAGAAAACTTTATTTATAGTTGATAGAACACCTCATTGAACCGCTAAAGATTCTATGTCGTAGTTTTAACTATCTAAAGAATAAAAAAGTCTGTCACTAGACTTACTATGAACAAACAATAAATCTATATTGCTTAACAAATTAAAGATCTTATTGACTCATTATACAAGTGAAAATGACTTGTATCAACCAAATTGTTTTAAGGTGACAAAGAGACGTATTTTAATGTTATAACTATAACCACATTCTTATACAAAAACAAAACTGTCACTATATTGCTAGACACTTGAAATATATATACTCTTTCTATCCGTAATTAGACATCAATGTTGACACTTGAAAAATACTAATGTGATTAATGTTTAATGTAGCAACTAAACCTAAATGAGATTAGTATCTAAAGACATCAACAAAATTAATCTTGATATTACACGATCACTCCTTAGTGATTTGGCTTCAAGGGGTGCCGCGAAGCCTGGTTAGAATTTAGGATCAATCGGAACATTTATTTATGAAAATATGTTTTTTTTTTAGGGTGTTCACCCGATTCACTGGAGCTTAGCTCCGACTACATTCGGATCCGAGCCGGGTAGCACACCTCGCTTATGGTGGGTGAGTCTCCCAACAAGAGTTTTTGCATACGGTGAGACTCGAACCCGAGCCCTCCCTGAAGCAATATCAAGTTGTTTACCACTTGAGCCAACTTTTGTTGGTATGAAAATATAAGTCATTAAACATGTTCTTTGAGGACTTCTTTCAATTTTATCAATGGCAATTGACAAGAGAAATTGAATTGGTCATTTTTTCACATGATTAAATAAATACCTCAACATCATTTTTGATAATGAAGGAAAGAGATAAAGGGAAAAAGGAAAAAGATTGATGACCAAAAGACATTTAGTCATCACCAAGACCCTATCTAAATTATTCTTCATTCCTCTCCCAGTCTCCCTCCACTAATTTCTAAAAGAAACCTTGCCTTTTTAATTTATGAATAAAGAATGACTAATTTCCTTAATTAGTGATGATAATGAGAATAAACTCAACACATACACCTTTGACATACCCTAGGTATATATATAAATAAATAAATATACCAAAAGTTAAAGATCTTGCTATCAAATGCTAAAGTTCCAGACAAGATATGTAATTTGAAGGAGAAATTGCATGTAAAAAGCTCATGAATTATATATATTTCTAATAAACCTATGTAAAGTATACTTGTATATATTATATCTCCAATACAAAGTACTTGTGTAAGCAACTAAGCATGAAACAAACTAAACACTGATACACAACCAAAACCTTATTATATTGTAACACCCCGTCATGATCTTATAATAAGTTATTCCAAGTCTGCCTTACTATAAACACGTAAGGTTTTTCTTAAGGCATACGGAGTTTACTTATCTAATTTCCCTACACATATACAACTCCGTCTTGTAATCTAGTGCACAATTGCATATCGCAGTCACAAGCTAAGGTTTTGCCTAAGGTATACGTATGTAGTATGTTGATCACAATCAATTTCCAAATAAACTTATTACTCAACATTGTAATTTAGCGCGCATCACTTTGTTATCACATGTACAAAGAAGTTAGGGAAAGAGGTATGCCCAAAAACAAAAAATAAAACGAAATTCAACTAATACGACACATATTTCGAAGTGTAATGATGGCACTGCATGTATTTACTATCCTTACGTAACGTGATTTATGCAACCATGCAATAAATCTATATAGTAAGACAATTTTCAGAGGTAGTACAACACAGTATTTCTCCGTGAGCTCATTTAATGTATGCTACGTAGGTCCAAATTTTGAAAGTTCATAAACAACACTAGAAATAACACAACAATGCAAATCTCAATCAATTAAATGTTTTGTGACAGGGTATAATTTAGATTGTGAACCATCATTAAAATGCAATTATGCATAGTTGTTAGATCTTAAGAGGTACATAGATAGTAGACTAGTAGGGACTTGTACGTTCGTTGTAACTAATACTCTGTACAATTTTAACCATAAGAAAAATAAAACTTGTATGTGCAACACTTAGATAGTTGACACATAACTTTGTCACGTATTTACACATAATTTTCATTTTACTGTATAATAGTTGACACGTTTTAATTTTCATCAATAACCATAGCAGATTATTAAAAGTCAATCTTATGACTAAATACTTAATCGCCCCCCAAATATCGTAAAAGCCACCAACGGAGTATTCAATACACCCGTTGCATACAAGTTTTCACCAATTTGACTTCATCAAAGACATGTATAAACATAGAAAGAGGTTAAAAGAAGAAACAACAAACTAACCTGCAATGCAGTAACCAGAAATAGGCAACAAGTTAGGATGCTTAAGCTTTGACAAATCTTCAAACATAGCAATAGCTTCATCACAGTCAACTCCTCTAGCATTTTCCAACACCTTAATTGCCACGTGTAGCTCACCTGGCAAAACAGCCCTATAAAGGGGCCCACACCTTCCTTCTGCCAGCTGTGACTCCCTCCCAAAATGACACGTGGCAGCAATCAAATCCTTGAAACTCAAACTCATCAAAGGCTTCTCAAACATCACAACAGGAGCAGATGAAGCCTCTTTAATCTCAACCATCCATTGTGATCCTGAATCTGTCTCGAAATTGAACGGCCCTGATTTATCCATTTTAAATGGAGTTTGAATTGGCTTTGAAATTACCCACTTTTTTTTACTCATCCCCACCATTCTTCTCCTGTGGATGAGATACAGACAAGCAGATATCAAAACGACAATTGCTCCTGAACCAAACGACACTCCTATGATCAACTTTAACCCCATTTTTCTTGATTTTTTTGCTCTGTTTTTCCCCTGTTTTATTTTCATGGGGTTCTCTCTTTTCGCCATTTTATGATGTGGGGTTTTCGAATTTGTTACCAAATTGTTGGAAAAATTGAAATTTCCAGCTCTTAAAAATGAAGATTTACCAAATTTATGGTAATATTTACTCTCCTTTGAGAAATTCCCACTGAAATTGTTAACCGAAATATTGAGATACTCGAGCTTCTCCAATGGCGGAAAATCTAAAGGAAATTTACCCTTTAAATTGTTGTTCGAAACATCAAGATATTTCAAATTTCTCAAATTTTTGATGATGGGTGTTAATTTCCCAGAAAAATTACAGTGAGAAATATCCAAAGTTTCCAACTTTGTCGAATTTCTTAAAAACCCAGATTCCAAAACCCTCAAATCATTGTGAGAAACATCAAGAGAAGTCAAATTGAAAAACCCAGAAAAATTAGCCAACTTAGTAAACCTATTATGAGAAAGATTAACAGCTTGAAGCTCTGAAAATGGCGAATGTGGAATGACAATACTACCCCCGAACTGGTTGGAAGAAAGGTTGATTTTTCGGAGAGAAGAGTGGGACCAAACCCAATCAGGAACAGACCCTTTAAGGTAATTATGAGAGAGATCTAGGGTTTGTAAATTGGAAAGGTTTTTAAGGAATTTCCAAGAAATGGCGCCACTTAAATTGTGAAATGAGAGGTTAAGTTGAGTTATTATAATTGGTGGTATTGAACATTTATTATTAGTTCTAGTGGTTGTATTTTTGGTGAATGTGTAGTTGTATTGGTGGCGAAAGAGGGTGGAGTTGAACCCTGAGACGGAACTGAAGGCTTTAAGGACGAGTTCGACGTCGGCGGGAGAAGTGGAGGTGGTGTTTGAGGTGCAAGTGGAGTTAACGGCGTTGATGATTGAGACAAGAATGAGGAGGAGGGTAAGGAGGTGATGACATTCCTCCATTGTTGGGTTTTTTGGGGTAAGTGAGGAGAAGAGAAGAGAAGAGAAGAGATGAGATGAGAGGGAATGTATGTATGTATGTGTGTGTGTTAAATGGAATATGTCTGTTTTGGAGTGAATAAAAGCTAGGTAGTGTGTTAGGTTTGATTTTTTAATTTTTTGTGTTTTTTAAGTGTTGAAACTTGAAAGTGGTTTTGTTCAATTTTCCTTTGTTGTTTTGGTGGGAGGGAAATGGGAACAAGGTGATTCCTTTTATATACTTCATTTTATACGGAGTAAAAAAAGCTAATCTCCCTGTTCCTAAATGTTTTTTACATTTTCATTTAGGGTGTTTCTTTTTATTCTTTACATTTAGTATGTTTCTTATTTTGGTCATAAATTTTGGACAAAATTATCCTTGTTTTACAACTTTTTTTACTCAAAAGTCCTTACTTTTTCATGTGTTATTGTACTTTTTGTACTATTTTAATAGTTTTTCAACACTTATTATTACTTTCTCTCTCCTCTAATTTCTTCACCCCACATGCTTGACATTGTATTTTTCAATAAAATTGTACTTTCAATCATTGAAATATTTCAATATACCTCAACTTTACACAACTTCTTAATTACCGCGCATAATTCCAAACGTAAAAAACATTAGGGAACGGAGGGAGTAGTGTTTTATGCTAATGAAAACACAAAAATGATTTCTTTTGTTAAAGAAATATATAGAAATCAGAGGATTAAGAACATGTTCACTTATGTTTAATTTTAATTCAGTTCAATGCAGTTTTAATTAATTCAGTTCAATTTAGTTCACCTCCTAATTTTCTTTTCCCATAAAATATTAATTTCAGCTCTATTTAGTTCAGTTCGGTTCAGTTCAGTTCAGCTCCAATCAGTTCAGTTCAGTTCAGCTCAACTCAGATCATTTCAGTAAATGTAAACAGGCCCTACGAGAATAAGGTTAGAGATGTAGAACAGTAGAATTGCAACTTGTGTATATTACTCTAACGTAATATTTGTGTGCATCATATAAGTAAATTTACATGGCTATTTATAGTACGTAGTGCAAATTACTACTCCCACCGTTTTTTTAAATGCATCACTTGAGAATTTGCACTATTCATACGTTACGTACATTTGACTTAATTTTTTCACTACTACATAATTTATAAACATGGTCATATAATATACTGTTGGGTTTGGTACAATGTCTACTATCATAATATAATTTTGTTATAATTTTTACTAATATCTAATTAAAGGTATTAATGGTCAAAGTTGTGTCTCAACAAGTGTGAAAACTCAAATAATGCATTTTAAAAAAAACAGAATGAGTATTACAGGATTATAACATTAGGGGGTGGCAATAAGGTTAATTGCAATGAAAAACTAAATTATGGACATTCATATGCACTATATTGAACATATTAACTCTTAACATCATTAAATATTTATGATCTATTAGTTAATTTTACATAAGAAATTTCTTTCTATAGAAAATGACAATATTGCAGCTTTTTATGCTATGGATGAAATAATTTGTATTTTTACAAATTTGTACAAGTAAAAGGTACATCTTTTGTTTTTTTTTGCTTGACCAGTTTTTTTTTATCACGCTTGTCAATGCAAAACTTCAACGATCAATAACTTTAATTCCCTATAAGTAAAAATCATAAAAGTTATATATTATGATAGTGCTTATTCAGATGAATTCAAAAAGATCCAACATAAATATGTTTTTCCTTGTATATTATTCTCAAAAGACGGTCAAGGGAGTGGTGATGAATAGTGTAAAAGTCAAAGCGGGTTAAGTAATAAAGAACGGAATAAGTATATAAATATACTAAAGTAGATTTTAGGAAAATTTGACATTTGCTACCAAAGAAAGCAACTTGCTGCTAGGGATGACAATGGATCTGGACCCGACCCGGATCCTGTATCCAAATCCGTCTGGGTCTTCAAATTTTGGACCCGACGGATCCGGGTCCTGCTGATGATGTACACGTTCTATACCATATTTTACCCTCATTTTATAGCTATTTTTGTATGGTTTCTGAGCTCTACGGAGCTATTTCTCGCTAATATTTTCTTCTCTAGTGTGGCTTGGTCTATTTGATTGATTTTGTAGGCATATGAAGATTTCTGGATGATTTGGACTTGTTTTGGATAGTCACGAAAGCTTAGTAAGTTGGAGGAGAATTTTACCCGTGTCCGCCCTGGAGGGCAATATTGCCCTAGCAGGTGATGTGTCTATTTTATATAGAATTTTACCCCCGTCCCTTGGTCACAATAGTAGTGTTTTTGGCTCTTTAGAGCCACTTTTATTACTAATTGGTGTTTTCTAGTGTTTTCGTAGATTTGGTTGACTTTTGCAGGGATTTGCACTTTTGGAGCATTTTCCCGAGATATTATGGAGCAATCACGAGCACTTGAGAAGCACGACCAGTTTCTATAGCCCAGGACTGGTTAGAGCCATCGAACCGGTGATTAAGGGCTCGGTATATGTGATACTGGGGCATTTGGACCGAGTATTCAAGACCCAAAGAGGAAACCCAGATTGACCCGAAGAATTGGAGCCCAATCGTGGTCCAATTAGTGGCCCAAGAGAGCCGCCCGACCAAAGAGGCTGGCGCCCGGAGGCGCGCTTGGCCGGGCGAGGGAAGCAAAGGTCGGCGCCCGAAGACGCGCCCGACCTGGCGCGAGACACGTATCTGATGAGCAAAAAGGCGCGCCCGATCGGTCGGTGCCTCGCCCGATCGGGCGCGTTTTATTATTAGGAGTTAATTTCGCCGTTTAAGTTTGTTTTAGCTCAGGATTCTTACTGAGTATAAATACTTCTCCGTAAAACGAGTTTAGCATCTTTCTTTTACCTTTCTTTACTCTCTTAATTATTTTCTTAGATTTTCTCTCTCTACCTAGCTTTTAGATTAGTTTTCTCTCTCTCATACTTTGTTCTTAATTTGATTCTTAATTCCAGATTTATTTTGGTAACAATTTCTCTTCTCTTAGTTGTTTATCTTGTTGCTTTGATCATGTCTTGTTTTATTGCTTTGATTAGTTTAGTTCCTATTATGTGTGAGTAGTTTTATTTCTAGGGTTTGTGGGGATCCATAAATAATATGAAGGGGTAATTTTTTGTTGTTGATTGTCAATGCTAGATTAATTTCCTATTGATTGATTTAATGCTCTGTGACTAGATTAGGCCCGATCTTTTATGCATGAGTTTGACAATATTGATTTGAGATTCGACAGATGATAATTGATGTTTAGGTCTAGTTTCAATAGGCAGGTTAATTTATAAATGGTTAAGTCGAGATTCGAAAGATGAGATTTAATACCGGTAAATTAATTGTGTGATTATAATACGTAGCGAAAGCCCTTTATGATCTGATTAATGTATGCATTGATGATTGATTATTATATTCTACCCTGGAATATTATTTATTGGTGAACCTATGCCCTAGATCCTTTTATTCATTGTTTTCTCCCTATCCTTAATCTTCGTAGTTTAGTTTCATATTCAAATTTACATATTAGTTACTTCATAATCTAGATTATATTAGTTAATTAGGAATAGAAAGACTCGTTTCTTTGTGGATTCGACCCTACTTCCCTATCTACATTAGTTAGAGGATTTAGGAATTACTTTTGATTTGGGGATACGACTTTACCCTGTCAAAATTTTGCGCCGTTGCCGGGGAAACAATTTTATTTTTATTTCTGATTATTTTTGTAGTCTAGGTTATTTCTTTGAGGCAAATCTCATATTTGCTTTTAGTTTTTTTTTTGTTTATGCCCAGGTGTTCCAGAATCAGGGTACATCCCATTCGATCTTGAGATCGAACGATCTTTCCATAGACAGAAGAACCTTTACAAGCAAATTCTGGCGGACTCTGGTGATAATAATAATCACCGAGATCCTCCAACTGGTTCTAGCGATTCAGAGGTATCATCAAATCTAGAATCAGAGATGACGGCTCCAAAGAAGCTTAGTGATTACTCACAACCAAAGCTTACATATTTTCCACATCTCACTCCCACTCCGGCTCTTGATGAGGTACAATTTGAAATTAAACCTCAATTTATAACGATGATAGAGAGGAAGCAATTTAGTGGAGCTAAAGGTGAAGACCCAAATCTTCACATTGCAGACTATTGTCAATATTGTAATACCATTAGGCAAGCCGGGGTCACACAAGACCAAATCAGGGAGATTCCCTTTCCTTTTCTCTTTAACTGGAAAAGCTAAATTGTGGTTTAATGGTTTAAATAGAACTGCACTTGGAGAAACTCTTGTTTTGAATTTTTATAACAAGTACTATCCTGCAGAGAGAACAACCGTACTACGGAGTGCAATTCAGAACTTTGCCCAAGAAGCCGATGAAACTTTATATGAGGCTTGGGAGAGGTTCAAGGACCTACAAAGAGAATGCCCCCACCATAATTTGGCACAATGACAGTTAATCCAAGCCTTTTACAATGGCATTGGAAATTCTTCTAGAATAGTTTTAGATTCTGCAGCTAATGGGAGGTTTATGAATCTTGATGTTGATGATGCAGGTCAGGTTATTGAAGATATGGCGATACATAATTCCCAATATGGGAATCCTAGAAGATTTGCTAACAAGAGGAAGCATAGTGTTGATTCTATATCCTTTTTATAAGCTCAATTGACCTCTATCTGCCAAAAATTAGATAATCTTAGCACTGCCAATATAGCTAATGTTTCTGCAATTAATAATAATGCTAATGAGGCTTTCTGTGAAAATTGTGGAATTTTAGGTCATTGGGAACAAGATTGCAGGAGTTCCGTGGAGCAAGTTAATGCCTTTCAAGCTTATAGGCAGAATAACCCATACTCCAACACCTACAATCCTGGGTACCGAAATCATCCGTACCTTTCCTACCGAAGTACTAATGTTCAGAATCCACCACCACAAGAACTACAGGCGCCACAACAACAACAGCAGAAATATTACCATCCTAATGCTGGCCAGAAGAACCAACCACAACAATTCTCCTAATCTTCCGACCCTGCTTTGGTAGAAATTAGAGCGATGTTGGTTAATATGCAGAAACACATGGAGAGTAGAGATGCACAAATTGATTCAATTCTAGCACACAATAAAATTGTAGATAATCAAATTGCGTAACTTTCCGCTACTCTACAAGCCCGCCAACAAGGAGCTCTGCTAGCACAGCCGACCAGGCCTACGGATCAAGCCTATGCAATTACTCTAAGGAGTGGTTCAAACTATGAAGGGCCCCCTATGCCCAGAATTGATGAACCTGTTTTATTAAATAATGCTAATTTTGATTCCGTTAAACCAGACAATGTAGCTAATAGCCCTGCAGGGCTAAAGCATAGTACTAACATATCTAATTCTACATTGCAGGGTACGACTCCAGAGAAGGTGGCCACTCCAGATAAGAGCAATAATTCTCCAAAGCCAGTTATCAAACTTCCATTCCCCAATCGTCACTTGAAGACAAACTTGGATAAGCAATTTGGTAAGTTCCTGAAGATGGTAAAAGATTTGAAGGTAACAGTTCCCTTCA